AACGTTGGCAGACAATCTCCACGTATCAGTAAACTTCTTCGCCGCGTCAGTTTGCAGTTGCAGTCCCTCAAGGGTGTCCGACATACCGGCAAAACCATCCGCAAACAGCATTCCTGACACGGAAGTTTCCGTGTCCCCTACTTTTACTCCCTTCCGGACTGCCTCTACGACTTCCAACAGATCGTTGATGAACACCTGGAACAATGTTGGGGACAGCGTGCAACCTTGTGGGACCCCCTGCTTAATGTCGAAGAATTTAGACAGTTCTCCCTCTAGCATGACCGCGCTTTTCGTACACTGTGTCATCTTCTTGGGGGGGGGAAATCTGAACTAAGGGGGGGAAACTCCGTAGTTTACGGTATACACCATGCGTCTTGCGACATAGTCCGGCTAAATAATAGGAGCCAGCTACAGGAAGTACGCTCCCATGTATGCCCGCCTTGGCGTTGACGTACGCCCCAAACCACCTACAACAAATGGCGAACAACATGCGAGAAAGCCACCTGACAGCAAAACGGGAAAAAATGGTAGCAATTGAGCCAGCCGTCGTCCCTCCGTACTTCAATATTGCACGTAGCACCATTTGCTCATTTTACCGGGTTCACAACCTGCCGGCCGCAACACCGTATCAAAAGGCTTGAGAGACGAACTCGTCACAGATATGGCTTGTACCCAAGGACCTAGAGGAAGCAAAGAGAGAAAAGGAACTACCCACAGACAGGCGCAACGGGATCGAGGAGACAGAAAACAGGCAAAGCCAATGTCGAAAGAAGCGCGGATAACGCACACACCGAGAAATCCAGCAACGTGTTCAAGAGGGGTGGGGGCATGGTTGCGCCAAACGTTTCCGGGAAAGCGAGAGATAGAAAATATATTCGTACGTTACTCCGTTCTCAAGCGACAGCCGAGGTTCAGATATCCCCAGGGTTTAGACTTGGCACACGTGAATCTGTGCCAACTCTCCAGCCACCATCTTCACCATCGATGTATTGCAGTGGCCACCACCTGGGGCAAAGAATCCGACGGCTGTGTTTGCTCGAACAGAAGCGACCGCTCGAACCTGTTGCTGCTCTCAAAGCCTTTTACTTAGCCACGGGGGAAAAGGACGGAAACACGTTACGTCGTCAAAGCACACCTATCAACGGAAATACTATGAAAAATGGGGTACTCGTTTCGCCGTTTGCCCGACCACAGGGGCCGTCAGCAGCAGCAGAAGCGCCACCCGGGGGCGGGCCCCGGATTCACGGGGGCAGGATAACGTCCTATGCACGAAGCGCACTGGTGAGTAATAACCGTACGCATGTGATTTATTGTAATCCCGCAAACAATTGCCTCGCGGGATGCACCCCACACCACGTACCAAGAGCGGGGGTGGGACATGCTTTCGAAAAAGAGCGGGGGAAAATAGCATTGTCTGGGCTTTCTTCGTTCGACGCAGGCCAGACCCGCCACATCTCGCCGCCGTTGGGAACATGAAAGTTCGCTGAATCTCAATCCCTCAAACGCATGCAATACGCGTCCTCGCTACCACCTTGACAGAATACAGTAGGCGCCCGCTGACAAGAAACAAACGCCAAATATGGGTTGAGGTTCAGTTTCTTAAATCGTGGCCACTGCTGTCGAGCGTAGGATAGGCTTTCGTGTAGGATCCACCATCGAGCTATATACGTTTCTTAGCCCAACTTTGTGATGTTTCGGGTGAAAGAGAGTCTCATTCTCTGTTGGAAAACATTCTTACCAGCGTGGCAGACTAAGAGGGGTATCGTTTCTGTCCGATTGGACCGACAAGGCCAACGTGGGTTGGATGTCGCCGTTCGAGGCCTTCTTCGGCTGGAAGCCGCCCCTCACCGTCGCCCCTTTTTTCCAGGGGGGGATGATGCGCGTGAAGCGGGCCACCAAGGAGGACGTCCAATCCGCGCGATGCTTCTACCTGCACGGCGCCAACAACCACTCGACGTCTACCGCCGTCGTTCTTCGCGCTGACACCGGTTGCCTCGCCCTCACCAACAACGTCGTGTGGGTCAACCGCCGGGCAGGAGCGCCGGCGCCGGTGCCGGGCATCGGGGGGGGGGTCTTCGGTCACCGCGGCGCCCTCGCCGGCCGCCGCCGTTCCTGCGGCCGATGCCGCACCGCCGCCGCCCCCGCCAACTAGGACGTACACGTACACCACGCCTGCACCAGCGACCACCGCACCGCCGCCGTCCGCTTCCCCGCCGATCTTCACAGGATCCTCAGACCCGTCGCCGATCTCCGTCGCCCCATCATCAGCCCCACCGTCGACCATAGCCACGCCGCCCCGTTCGCCCCCGGCTACCGCCGCCGCCGCCACAGCGCGCCGCCGCCCCCGCTCCTCCGCCCCCGCCGCTTTCGAAACGAGCTGTCAAGAAGTTGGGACGAGAGGACACCAGGGTTCACGGCCGCACGCGCGGCGATGGAGTGCGGTTCATGGATGAGCAACAACAACCGCCGTCGCCACCCGGTGGCGGCACTGCTCTCCACCACCGCCTTGGGCTGTTGGACATGATGGACAAGGCCACCCTCATCTCGTCGCTCGCCACCCGAGAGGTCGTGGATCAAGGACGCCGCGACCTACCGCCCCCGCCGCCGCCGGATCCGAGTCTTGGAGGCCGTGGGAGCGGTGGGCTGTGGGAGCTGGGGGGGGCGTGGATTCTGGGGCGGGGGGGAGACCGCAGATGTTCGCAACGATGTTCACCACCCGCGAGGATGTGGACGCCGCTCTTCGCGCCGAGGCCCGCCCGACAAGATGCCGAACCTTCCTCACTGCCTCGCCAGCGACCTCCGAGTGCCGAAAACGTTCAAGGGGGCCATGCGGTCTCAACATTCAGAGTTGTGGGATGATGCAGTCGGTCGAGAGTTTTTCGGTTTGTTGGGTGCAGGAACTTTTAGTCCGGTGTAGCAACCAGTAGAGAACGCCATCAATGCTTAGTGGGTCTTTAACTGTGNGAGCTGTCAAGAAGTTGGGACGAGAGGACACCAGGGTTCACGGCCGCACGCGCGGCGATGGAGTGCGGTTCATGGATGAGCAACAACAACCGCCGTCGCCACCCGGTGGCGGCACTGCTCTCCACCACCGCCTTGGGCTGTTGGACATGATGGACAAGGCCACCCTCATCTCGTCGCTCGCCACCCGAGAGGTCGTGGATCAAGGACGCCGCGACCTACCGCCCCCGCCGCCGCCGGATCCGAGTCTTGGAGGCCGTGGGAGCGGTGGGCTGTGGGAGCTGGGGGGGGCGTGGATTCTGGGGCGGGGGGGAGACCGCAGATGTTCGCAACGATGTTCACCACCCGCGAGGATGTGGACGCCGCTCTTCGCGCCGAGGCCCGCCCGACAAGATGCCGAACCTTCCTCACTGCCTCGCCAGCGACCTCCGAGTGCCGAAAACGTTCAAGGGGGCCATGCGGTCTCAACATTCAGAGTTGTGGGATGATGCAGTCGGTCGAGAGTTTTTCGGTTTGTTGGGTGCAGGAACTTTTAGTCCGGTGTAGCAACCAGTAGAGAACGCCATCAATGCTTAGTGGGTCTTTAACTGTGAGGCAGACGAGTACGGACGGCCGACGAAATTCAAGGCAAGACTTGTAGCGCGGGAGGACATGCAGAGGGAATCGATTGATTTTGGAGAATTGTTTGCACCCACCGCATCAGAGTCTAGTGTGCGCTTATTAGCAGCATTAGCATATGAGCAGAGTCTTGATTTGTGCCTTTTTGATATTCAGCAGGCTTTTGTGCAGTGTGAGCTTGATGAGGATGTTCTCATGCGCTTACCGCAGGGGTGTGGTAGGTTATCTGGCCTGATGGTGAAGCTGTGCAAGAGTCTGTATGGTTTGAAGCAGGCATCATGACATTGGCATGCGCACCTGACGCGGTGTCTTTCTTTTAGTTTTTTTGCGGTGTCTGGCGGATGCATGTGGTTTTCGATTGATGGAGGAAGGACGTGTGATCTTGATCATCGTGGTCCACGTGGATGACATTTTTGCTGTAGGGAAGAAGGAGAGGTGTGAGAAGTTTGGCAGGGATCTCAACGATATGGTCCCCGTGAAAAACCTTGGAGAGTTGAGGTGGTACTCCGCGTGCTTTTACGAGAGAGACGTAGAGAGAGGGCTGTTGAAGATTTCGCAGCAGAGGTTTGCCGAAGAGTTGGCTGCGGAGTACGGTATTGAGTGGGGGAGGAGTGTGCCCTTGCCTGTGAGCATGAAGCTAACCGACTTTGACGACAACGAAGTGTGCGCTGATGTCCCTTTTCGCGAGTTGGTAGGACCTCTGATGTGGTGGGCCACTCAAACAAGGCCGGATATCGTGAACGCAGTACGAGCAGTAGCGCGATATTGTGCATCTCCCAAGATGGTGCACTGGAAGGCAGCACTCGGTATTTTAGGGTAAGTACGTAGGAGGACCAGTTGGATGGGGATTACATTTGAGAGGGGAGTGGTGACTGGGATGGGCATGCAGGTGTTTGTGGATGCCGACTATGCAAGCAAGGCGACAGACCGTCGATCGGTGTCAGGAGGGCTAGTGATGTGTGGGTATGTGGGTGTGTGACTTGGTTTTCGAGGACGCAGAAGTGCGTTACGCTTTCCACAACGGAAGCAGAGTATGTGGCAATTGCCGACGTCTTGAACGAAGTGTTGTTCTTGAGGCAGCTATGGCGTTTTATGTTGCCAGATGCGGGTATGCCGTGCATCCCGGTGTTCGAGGGTAATCAGGGAGCGATTCAGATTGCGCACAACCCGATTGTGAACTCCAACTCGAAGCACATCGATGTACGGCATCACTATATTAGGGGGCTGGTAGAGAGGAAGGAGATTTCAATGACTCATGTGCCGACGCAATTTCAGCATGCAGATTTCTTGACGAAGGCCATTAGCAAGGAATCTTTTGCGTTGCACCGTGACTTTTATGATTAACTTGCAGTGAAGGAAGTGTTTTGGGGTCGATTCGTATTCTGTAGTGGAGAGAGAAAGAGAGAGACGAGATTGGACAAGAGAAAGAGGGAGTCTGGTGAACATGGTAAGTGTGTTGGAGTTGTTGGGATTTTTCTTGGTTGTGTTGGAGGAGTTTTGGTTGTGTTGGATTTTTCTTGTGATTGTCTTGAAGGATTTTTTTCTTGTTTTGGAGATGATGATAAAGAAGAGGATAATATTGTTTTTTGCCGAAGCATGACGATGCATACGAGCAGGGGGGCTATTCGATATATTGGGGGTACTCGTAGCATAGTATGACGGGTTATCTTTGGTACATACCTACGGAAATTTCAATGAGATGCGAAGGAACCAGAAATGTCTGGGTATTTTCCTCGGAAGTTAGAAGAGTTTGATGGAGATTCAGAGAGATCCGTTTGGGTACTTTGAGCGTGATGAGCGTGACGCGTGCTTGATGCCGTAACTGATTTACGAGCGCAAGCATGCCCCTGAAAAACACAATATACGTTTCCCACCAAGTTTCCCACCACGTTTCTACCCATCCACGGCCCGTCATGGCCAAGCTGCTCGACACTCCCAACACACAGAACTTAGCCACCAGAATTATCGATGAGAAGGAAGCACAAACGAAGCACATTTCATGGTCATCGTGCTATTTCTGAGTGGCGTGGGTGGGAAACAATGGTGAAGGGGGCCCCGTGGGTGCTTTTCGTCACAAGCGGGGGCTACAGAGCACCACGTACTTCAAATTTGCTCGTCGATGCAAACAGAGAGGTGGTCCCAATCCACAAGCGGGCCAAGTTTCGACGGGAAAAAATCCTGGGGTGAATGCGGTAGTGAAAGGTGTAAATATACACTGCTGTAAATCTCCACACGTGCTTCACAAGTCGGGATGTGCTTCGATTCCCAACAGTAGGGGCACACGCGTGCAAAATTCGAGGTTAAATTGAAAACGATTGGCGAGTTATGTAGCTAAATGACTACATATTTTTGCGGTAAATCTTTTTCGAGGCTTACAAATGGACACCTTCTCAGATATTTTTTTCCTTTGGCGCACCCATGGACCTAGGCAATCCGTACACACGGACGCTTATTTTTTGGCCAACGGACGATTTGGAGCCGAGATATGGAGTAAAACGTGTACGCACAGCAAGAACAAGTAGTGTATTCTCAAGTCGATCTTTAGAAGGGGGCAGCTTTAGGTACCCCCGATCTATCAAAACATACTTTTGGGTCGATTGGGGTGTACGATACGAAAGTCTGATGTGGAGGGGGGTTGGGGGGGGGTGTACTCATAGTCGTGCATGCCGTAGTCGTTAGACCATTGACCTCGCATCCCTACAAAGCCGGGACGGAGCACGCCGGATTCTCACCGGACCAGGCTCTCACATCACCAAGCGCGAAGCGCCGTGAGATATTCGGCGAGTCGCATGAAGGGTGCGCTGCATCCTGCTAAGGGTGTTCGGCATCTTGTGCTTACTTCCTTGCGTACGGATGACAGCTGCGTATGACTAATTTATTTATTGGTGCTTTCACTTCCAGAGACAGTTGTAAGCACTGTTTGTTGTTTGTTGTTGTTGTTGTTTCTCACATTAGCTCTAAAAAAAAAACATCTAG